CTGTCGCGAGGTCGTGCATGCGGAGCTTCTCGGCTGTCTGGGGGACGGTGTTCACCATATCTGCGGTGTTCGGACCCAAGGCTTTAAAGGTTCGAACCAAGAGCATCTGTCCGTGCAGACCCTCCCAAATCGCTCTATGTGTGGCAGACAAGCAAGCACAGTTTGGTGCGTGCCTTTAAAGTCAATCGAGGCTTTGTATGGATCGTTCGGTGGCACGTGCCGTAGGGATGTTGTACGAGGAGGTCGCAAATCAATACGATATTTGGTTTTACAACGATATTCTTTGTCGGGTATAATGTTATTCGTCTCTTCGTTGAATCAACCAAACCTGTGACAATGTGATCAAGGAGATTCGCGTCACTTGTCGAAGCACCTAGAAGCGTACACTCCCGATTGGGTATGGAGAGTAAGATGCTTCTTGTACTTCTCACGTGCTATTCCCATTCACAGGCATTTCTGAGCTCTTCTTGCTTGTCCCCGCCCTGCAGTTTTGGCTAAGGTTACTACACAACACCCACCCGTCAGATTGGTGTAGGAGATGGCCAGAAATGATGCCGCTCATGAAACCCGCAACGGAAGTGATCAATAAAATGGTGGTTGATGCTCGAAATGGTACGTCTATTGCGATTCAAGCGTGGTCGTTATAGCTGACCACAACCTGGCGACAACACTTTTCCAATGGTACTTTCTCCTCATGCCCCTGACGGTCCTGACACTACCCCCCCCCCCCCGCCCCCCCCTCTCTTCCTCTCGTCCCTGCCCCACCTCTTCTGTTTTCGTCCGGGTCGGTGGCTCATTTTACGTCACAAACGACACCAACATGAACGACAGCTGTTTCTGCATGGCGACATTCGGGGTTGCCAAGGAGAACGCCGCAGGAGTGGTGTCGGCAACACCTTTGAACGAACAAGGCGCGACAGCTACACCACCACTACCACCAGCACGAACAACGTCGCCCGCCTTTCGTTGTCATTTCTCAATCCTAGTTCGGCCATGCCCCAGAACGGCTTCCTGTCGCGCCGGTCGTCTGAGTTGTGGAGGGCACACAGAGGCAGCCAGGTTCTTCCAGAAAAGAACTATTACTCTGATTCTCGAGTGAACGCTGTATCTACAACAACACCAGGAAGGTCAATAACTCCTTCAGCAGCAGCGGGGACGCTAGAGACACCGCGAACAGTCAAGACGAAGAGCTCGTGGGGACAGAGAGCACGATGGCCTCCTCTGACGCGGATTGCCTCCTCTGACGCCACCGGTGGTTCAGTTGAACACCAGTCAAGTCAAGTGCCGTAGGCAAACCCTGTAGGTAGGCGGAGAAACTGCCTAGACTAATCACTGCACGTATCCAATCAACTTCCGGCAAACGGGCAAGAGGAAATTGCTTCGTTCGTTGTTCGCATTCTACCCGAAGATTCATTAAGGAAAGCGAAAGCAAATCATACATGTACCCATCCGCAAAAGAAACTACGTAGTCTCGGGTTTGGGTGGGGGTGGCTAGGGGGGCTGGCTGTTGGCTGAGGGAGTGGGGTTTAGGAGGCAGTGCGGACATGCGCGCCGGGATAATGTATGGTGTTGCGGGTTGATTTAGTTCTGCTAGATTTAGCTATTCTGTTCTTGGAGTCTCGTGGTCCCTCTCGTTCGTTTATTTATTCCGACATCAGTTCGCAACACCTCCCACCTACACGATCTACAGCGTCGTACAAAACTTGACTTCTGTAGTTAGTCCACTTCTTCTCGGGGTGTTTTGTTGCTCTTCTTGTACACTGGTGGTGTCATAGTGATTGTATGTATGTAAAGCATAAGATAAGAGTTTTGGGAGTCTTAGTTTAAAACGCATCGTACGTACTACGTGACAACGTCGTCAGTTAGTCATCACGTTGCCATTCCGTTTTTTTTGCCTCTTGGAAGGTGTGTGAGACTCTGTTGTGGCGCATTGTTTTACAGTGAATGCCGGCCTTCATGTTCCCTATACCACCGCTCGCTCCGTTTGCGGAAAGCTTCGATTGCTCGTCCTTGATCTTGTAGTAAACATAGCCTTTGTATAGTCTATGCCGCATTCTTGAAGATAGGTTTTTCCTCTTTGTTCGTGTGGATTGGTCGTGCTTGTTATGTGGCCGTTTGAGTTCTAGCTGCTTGCAGATTCCTCCCGTGCTTCCCATTTCGGTGGCGGTTTGATGTCGGTTTCGGTTGCCTTTGGGTCCAATTGCTGCCCCCCCATCTCATATGTATTTTCAACAAGTTGTTGGGTTAATGAGCCGTTAAGCGCGAAGCGCGACCTTTCTTCCCTTCATCCCAGGAGAGATTAAATAGGCTCCACAGTACACATCGGGCTGTGCCAACGCGATGCAGGGGTCCAAGTTGGATTTCCGCCTAACTTCCGGGCGACCGAATATGGCCTCTTGTTCGACCACAACGAGTTCTATAGAGCACCGATTGACGATCTGCCGCCTTCTGAAGAGGAAGAAAAATAGGGCACTCTTCGCCACACCGGTTTGGGCGTGCTCCGACAACAGACTGGCATTTTTTGTGCCCAAAATTCGTATGCATTGATGATGTGCAACTCCTCGACGAGTTTCGTCGGCGTTGTTGCCTGTCTGAAGCCCTCCTTGCTTTTTTTACCGGAAGCCGCAACTGCTTATTACGAGCACCAGACACAGCAAGAAGAACATGTAATAACTACAAATAATGAAGACGTCCAGACTGCAATGAAGCCCTTGAAACTATGGTGCCGACGATGACAACGCCCAAAGAACAAAATCCGAAGAAAACCTATGATGACAGGATACATAGAAAAAAGAGAGAAGTAAACGTGAAAGAAATCGCATGAAAAAGCGCCTCAAGCAGAGTTAGTTCTCCCCGATGGACTGACAGGGCCTGAAGCATGTTGGTCCTGGAGACAGGCTTCCACCGGAAGGGCTCTGCGGCACCGGGGGCGAGAGCGATGACCCCCGGTGGCAGAGTTTGCCCCGCGGCAGCGGGGGGGGAGACGGCGGGGGCGCAGGCACTCGCGGAGGGACCGGCAGCATCGGTAGCAGCATCACCGGCGAGAGTAGTGACCACCGGCAGGCATGTTTTCCCCGCGACGCTGGCCGGGGGGACGGCCGGAGTGCAGGCACTCGCGGCTAGAGCGGTACCAACGGTAGCAGCACCGGCGGCGAGAGCGGAGACCATCGGCAGGCATGTTTTCCCCGCGACGCCGCGGGGGGGACGGCCGGGGTGCAGGCACTCGCGGCTAGAGCGGTACCATCGGTAGCATCTCGGCGGCGAGAGGGGTGACCACCGGCAGCAGAGTTGCCCCCGCGACGGCGACGGCGGCGGGGGAGACGGTCGGTGCCCAGGCACTCGTGGCGGGAGCGGCAGCATCGGCAGCAGCATCGGCGGCGAGAGCGGGGACCACTAGCCATCATGATTTCCCCGCGGCGCCGGCCGGGCGGGACACACGCACTCGCGGACGGAGCGGCGGTACAGTTGATGGGAGCGGCGACGACAGGAGCGGTTACCGTGACGGCGGCGGTGGAGGGTGGATTGGGCTACCGCACGCCATGAGCCAACCCGGCAGACGGTGATCCGTCAGCAAGGTGACGCCTGCGGTCACGCGGTCGGGGTCTCGTCGAACCGATATTATCGTGGTTGGGTGTAGGCGCGTGTACTTCGTTATCACGCTCGCGGGCTCCTGTCGAGAGCGTTTTAGCGCCAAGGAGTGACTCAAGTTCCGCCAGAAAAAGAAACAGTCCACGACCGGCACCGAGTGGACAAAAAATAATACTTTATTCCCCCCCCCCATGCCCCTGCGTATGAACTACTTCTGGCGAGGAAATCCTACTACTGCCGAGTATTGCTTGCTGATCTACGTACGAATATACATCTGGTTACGCACGAACACAGCAGCCAAATGCTCCTAGATGGGATCACCCAGAACGAGCTCTGCTCATTTGTATGCGAACGGACCCCAGTCTAGCTTTCCTCTCCTCGAACAATATTGAGCCGGACGGACGGGAGGGAAGAGAGGGCGAAATAATCTGCGTCTTCCCCCTTTTTGAACATGGAACAGAGCGAACCGCGTTCTCGTGGTGAAAGGTTGCAGTGGCATAGCCTCTCTCTAGGCGATCAACTTGAGAAGACCACCACCTGTAGAAGGCGCTCAGTTGTTTGTTACCGTACCAAGGTACTGAGAGAGACGGGAGTGTTAAAGATGTTTTGTTTTTTTTATGCGAACACAACCAAGCCTCAGAACTCTCCGCTCGCCTCAACACGCTCTAGCGAAGTAGGTAGCCATAGACTGAAAAAAAAAAAGAATATAAAGACAAGGAGAAAGAAGCAGAATATCGTCGGGAAAATACCGCCAATTGGCGGAACACTTCTCCCATCGTGCAAAAACTTGAGTGAAAAATAGTTTTTTTTCTCGCAGAGATCGTTCGGCTAGTCAACCGGCGTGTTTCAGAGCTTTCCACAGCAAACAAGGGTACCATGACGAGGGAGGGATGCATGTGTCGTGCGCGGTCCTTATTCAAGGCAGCCATGTCCAGCCCAGCTCTACGGCCATGCTCTACGAGTCGGTGTTCGCTGTGCCCTGGGTGTAGCGCACCCTCAACCCTGCCTGAAAAGCTAAAGAACGACCGACAAGAGCGAATCGTCTGTCGCTACAAGCGGATTCCGAACGACAGAGAAAAGCCTCTAAACAGCAACAAGTACGAGACACGTCCCAAAACCACAGCGGGGTGCGCGTGAACGTGGATGGATAGTGTTGATGGCTAGAACCAGCGCACGTAACGGCCACCAGTGACGCTCACGGAATAGGAGCGTCATAGCCGATGGTATGGATAGCTGTCGTTTCAATCCACTGCGCCCGGTCGACCGAGTACAAAGGCCACTCGGGCACCAGGGTATCACCACCCATGCCAACGCCACAATTGGCAGGGAGCACCAAATAACACTGTCGCTGACATTCGCGTAGGCGCCGCCGGCGCCGCCGCCACTGCGCTCACGAGGATTGCTATATTTTTTTCCTTTATTCTTCATTTTTTGCTTCGCCTTTCCCTCCCTTCTCGGGGAGCCGTTCGCACCGCCACTACCGTTACCACGAGGCCGCACTGTCTCGCCGCGTACAAGAAAACCATAGGTTTCTCCCAGAGATGGAGCAACCAAAATCCGTTTGCCCCCTTCACGCGTTAGCGCCAAATCTTAATCCAAGTCAACAACATCTGAAGCGAGGGAATCGGAACACAAAAGGGAACATCGGCTTTTCTCATGCATCATCTCCGACGAGAGCTTCTGCCTGCTTCTACGACGGAGTTGCGGTCAATCATCATCGAGCACGGCCCTTGTCTTAGGCGACCAGAGCGCTGGCGCTGGAGGACTCGTACTTCCAGTTGGCTGCCAGCTTGCGGTTCGTCCTGTAGTACCTAGCCAAGCGGTGGATGCGAGACTCGATGAGGATAAGGCGGAACTTCGAGTCCTTGTCGCGGCGGTTGCGCTCCAGGTGCTTGCGCACCGCCACCGCCTTCTTGATGAGCATGTAAAGGTCCTCAGGGATCTCGGCGGCAAGGCCTGCCAAGGACGACCAAAAGTGGACACAATTGGTTTAGGTGGGGGTGGGCGTACTCTCATGTTTTGCATGCCTTAGCGGCTAGACCATTGACCACGCGTCCTCGAGAGGACAGAGCACTGTTCCCACAGGACCGATCACCGATGCCCAATCGAGGGGGGGGGGAGGGGGGCATTCAAAAGGGGCATTGCTTGTTTCTAAAAAAATACCCGACATAGGAGAGGGATTGGATGGACGGGGCGGCCACCGTGGCGTTCGAAGTTATCCTCCAAACAATCGCTCGTGTGGATGGGCATGCAGGGGATGTGCGCCTGTTTTCCCCAGGGTTTTGACATGGTGCTATTTATATCAGGCCATGTCTGCACGCCACAAACAGTCTTGCTGGCTGTGAACACAATTTTTCGACCAGAAGCAGGTGTTGCGACTCGAGTGGGTGCCCTCTTGCTTACCGTTGGCCTTGAGCACGCGGAGGATCTTGGAGCCGGTGATGGCGCGGACCTGAGCGATACCGTTGGAGTCACGCAGGATCACACCGATCTGGAAGGAAAATAGAGTTCAGAAGGCGAATGTCACCAGTCCAGGTTCAGTATAAACAGAAACAAACAACAGACACCTCGGTGGGAGGTGGGAAAGACATAAATCACCCGTCAACTTGGAGAAATTATGTTCCAAACGATGCGTGTAGGGCTCGCCACATGCCCTCCTGAGGTCATGACGTACTTCGCACCTCTACGTTAAAGTAGCTTTCATCCAAGGCAAGAGGAATGTGAGAATACACAATGCTGCGCAGCGTCAGTTTCCATCACTAGGTACGACAGACTGACGAGAGAAAAAAGAAAATTGCGCCTCTCATAATTTTCGTGTGGACACGATCATACAAGTCTACCTCGCCAACGGTGAAGGCAGATGTTGCAGGGCGAGCGGCAACCCAACCATGTGAGCTTGGGTCGAACTACTTCCCGCTCAATACTGTTGTGCCAAATACTTCGTGGAAAATTGCCCTATGGTATACGTTGGGTTTGTCGACCAACAAGCACGGCGTCGATGCGGTGCCACGTTCTGCTTCCAACCAGGCTTGGTGTATTTGCCATGATTGTTGTACGCTCCACTATCGGAAAAAAATAAACGTGAAAAAAAAAAAGAGTTTCAACACATCCCCTTCATCTGCTGCGGTCATGTCTCGAACAGGTAATATGTCGGCGATTACATATTTCCCAAACCCTGCACTACAGCTCGTGTTCCGACAAAAACTACCCCGCCGCTGAGTCTCTTCCTTATGCACGCAGTACAGCTTCACGCCTCACCTGCGAAGGAGTGAGACCCTTCTTGGCCAGCTTGCACACGTGCTCGGTGACCTCCTGGGCGGAGATCTTGAGCCACGAGGGCGGGCTCCTCTTGTAGGGGAGAGAAGACTTGGAGATACCCTTCCCGCCGCTGTGCATGCGCCCCATCTACAGTGGTCGTGTAGCAGTTCGTCGTTTGCCCCGCGGTAGCACAGCAAAAACGCATGGCGCAAACACCCAGCAGATTGGTCCACAACAACACCGACCGTTCGCGAACACGACATAAAAAAGAGCAGCACGAGCAACGCCGAACAACACAAAAAAACGGGGCATCTTCAGGGGGGGTTAATCAGGGCACCCACTCAGCCTAGACCGAGTGGGTCCCTGTGCGCGGCAAGGCAAGGTGGCTCGTTCCATCGGGATGGTGGTGTTGCTTCGCTGTGTATGACACAGGATAACACCCCCCCGTAACGGGTGCAGTACTACATTACTGCTGTGCACGAACCACACACGATGGCGTAGGCTTGAAACAGAAGTGCAAGCTCCGCTCTTGCAGATACCCCTGGTCGACAACAGCTACTGGATCTATGCAGTCTCATTTCGACGAGATTGGTCGGTTCTCTCCCGCTGGCGTGGTTTCCGTCGAACGCAACAGCGGTGAGCTCTGCGTGTGGCCACCGACAGACCGACAGCAGCATCATCCCCCTCTGATCCATACACAGCAGAACTTTCACATGCCAGATACAATGCTATGCAACACGCAGGAGAGAGGTCAAAGCACGACAAGACAACCCGGCAACCGTCTGCCAAGTGTGTCAACTGCGTCGCAATCAACGACACCATGCGTTGCTGATGGACGCTTGCTTTCGCAGCGGAGCGAGGACGCTCTCTAGGGACGCCGGGTCAGCTCTTTGGCACCACCCTCTTCAAGATCTCGGCCTAGGAAGTCAAACCATACGGCGTAATGGCTCTACCGCCTGCCAGAGCAGTGGTGACTACGACAAGTGGCTCACCTTGAAGGAAGGTGTGTGTGCAAACACAAGGTTCAGGCAAAGGCTGAAGTGTGCGAAGCAGGCAGCAGGCAGCCGCCAGCCGCCAGTCCGCAGCCGCAGACGGAAACACGCCGCATTGTTTCGTTGAGAACCCTACCTCCCGTGGAGGAAATCTGCGCACCACGATGGCACCACCGTGTCCACGGCGTCGTTGCTGTTAGTGTGCGCCGTGGTGTGGTTGTGTACTCCTGGTGGGCTGCATTCGTTGTGCACGGGTGCCTTTCACGCTGCTGCGCTTGGTCACGATGCCTCCCGTTCCCGTCCTAGCTAGGAACTTGCCTCCGCACTCCCCTCAGTCGCTCTCCAGAAAATCCAGCTGGAAACATAGCCTTCGAGGCGTCGGTACGCGAAGCAGGACGGGCAGCGATGCCGGCGATGATGCTGAGAGCACCGCGGCGGGGTCGGTCAAGATGGGCAAGCTTGGAGGGTTGGGTGGTGGCGTTGGCGGCGGGGAGAAGGACAACAGTCAAGGCTACGCCATAGGCAGGCAAGAACAAACCTGGGGGCCCGCAACAACGGCAGTAACTGCAGGACTTCTGTTCAGGCTGCTGTAGCCATCCCACACCAGTACAGGAGTAGAGTAAGAGGAGCTCACTCGGTAGGAACCGACACCGGCAAGGGGTCATATCGTCGCCATCCGTTCTCACACGACGACTGATACATGTGTGTAGTTCGTGTTTATCGCCCGTGAAGGATGGTGGTTTGGTTTGTGAGGAGTGAGGTGCAGCTGGTGAGTTGGGCGGGTGCTTAGGACATTCCGCTCTCATGGACTTGTATATCAGCAGCTACATAGCAGTATACCTCTCCCTCGACAACTGACTCTGTTCAAGTGAGCGACTTGGTGGTTGAAGCTCACACTGCTGCTCTGCCGGAATGTAGCGTGCATCAATGGCTGAGTTGCAGAGGAATGCGGCGTTCCTCGCTTAGTCGGAAACACGACAGCAATTAATTGTCCATGATACACCGCCGCCTTTTTGATGCCACCGCGCTTCTGATCCTCCTCTCTCCCGGCCTCCTTCCTGGTGTATGCAATATTAATAGTTACGAGCTTGTCAACAAGCCGCGGGCGTATTGGACGGTTGCGGCAGAGGTTGTGGCGAAAGGGGCCACCATGCCAAAAAAGCGGCTTGTTCCCTTACTGCGAGAGGTGAGGAGGCAACACACGCAGCTGAAGCCAGGCACAGATTCTCGACTACATGTAGAAGGTTCACGTAGACTTACATGTGTTGATGGCATGTAGCCTCCTTACGCCCTGGAATCCGGCGTGTGATTGGATGCGAACCTTGTCCTCGGATGCAGTCGATGGTTGTGCATAGGTCGCACTCGAATCCGCAAGAAGCAGGTATATCCGACCGAAATGCCCATGATGTGGTGTACTACGATTGGACGACCTCATCTCGGCTCGTGGGACACCCGATACCGGAACAGCAAGTAATGAAATGGGACGATTCCGACCGACCCTTTCCAAGAGACATGCCTGCGCAAGCCGACAACATGCACAGCATTCTACCCGCATGGACCGCGTCCCGCTGCTTGTCTCTCTGTATTTACCGCAACCTCCACATCTGCAAAAGCTATGCATTCGGATAGGAGATTACACCGTCTGCGACGGCGCGTTCTTCGGCGCTCTCCTGGTCATCCTGCGCTCGGCCAAGGTGCGTCATGCCCCACATCATTACAACCCCTTTCATTCCCAAAGAGTATGGTGATACTGGTAGTGTCACTGCTGTCTCTGCCTATATGGTACCTTCTAAGGTTGCGGCGTCTCTTGCACTCTCTCCCTCCTTACAAGCAACACGCTCGACGCATGAGCGGTTCCACACAAGTTACACATTGATACATTCTTCCTAGATTGATTGGGCCTCGGTTCCGGGTGTTTATGCATAGAATACCAGCTCATATACCTTGACCGTCGGTTGATGTGTTTCCGACAGCATGGCGAGACATGTTTCCCTCATCCCATACCGCCCCAAAGTAAACCGGCGTTCCCAAACTCTCCCTTTGGTGTAGGAGGGGGACTGGGATGGCAAGGCGGTGCGCCTGGTGCACTTCTTCGTGCGAGGGATGGTTACTGTCCAGGGGGACACGGAGGGGCGGGTGTTGGGGTCGCACTGGGAGGGCCGCGGGATATCTCCACGGCAGATCATAGACGCTATCGAGTGCTTCAGGTAAGAAGTTGTGAGGCATCTTGGTGAACAAGCACGACTTCAGCGGGTGTTGTTCGAAACACACTCTTTCTTATGATATGCCGCTGTTGGGGAAATACCAACGGCATCCCACTCTTAATAGCGTTGGAGACGCGCACGAAGTTTTCCACGAGCTGACGTTCCCGCTCCCACGCTGCCCACCGTCGCTTCCCGCTGCCTTCTTCGGCATCTTTCCTGGGAACTCCTGTGTGTCGCGCCGCGGTATGTGTTCACCAAAACACAACAATCGCAGACAAGAGTCCGAGCATCGTAGCTCAGTTCGACAAATCCCGGCTTTCCACACCGTGGCGACGCTCTGCCAGCTGGCTTCTGTGTCCGGGGTTGGCGGTCAACCGTCCCCTGTTGAGGTGCTCAGGGAAACGACGCTCACCCCGCTGAGATCCTTGCAGGCCCAGGAGAGGCCGGAGAGAGGAGGCAAGACCAAGGGGCGCGCTCTCCGGCAGGTAAAGATCTCGCGTGGTATTGGGTTACGCGTTGTGCATCGCATCACCTCGTGTATGTGTAACATTCGTGAGAACACCCGCCTTAGTGGTAAATGCTCATTGCACGGATTTGTGGGCTCATTGTGTGTGTGAAGAGTGTACGCTACCTTCTGATGATTTGTTCCAAAATACAGAGTATGTGCCATTGGGTAGGTTTCGGTTGTCTACCGCCCCGCCCCCACCCCCCCCCAGCCCCCCGCGTGAATTTCTGGCTAGTACGGTACGACACATTTCCCATGTCAACCAGCATACAGCAGTCCAGGCCACCATTTACAAACCCAAAGTTAGAATTTAAAATATACTTGAACATGTAAGAACTAGTGAACCCACACTACTGTGTGAAGTATCTGTTGATGAACCCAGAGGAGACGTGACAATCTCCAGTGTCGCGAATAATGGAGGTCCTTTACGCACGCAATATCATCGTCAACGTTGGGAAAACCTATGTGCGCTCCCTGTACCACAATTGCCACCCCATTCCCCCCCGATGTATGTTCCACAGAGGCAAGAGGCGTTCGAGGAATCGCTGCAAGTTTCGGCTGCCATATTTTCAGCAATTCGCCGATGTCCGGCGCTGGCGCGCGACCAGAGCATCCTTCCCCCGGTGTTGCTAGGCTGCTGCAGCGAGAACCACCTCGCCGCCCGACACGCGTTTGCGATCCTCGCGGACCTTGCCATGAAGTCGCCGGATGTGGTGTCTCAGGTGAGGGCGGAGGAAACGTTTTGCGGGGCAGGTGGGCACCGTTTATCTTTGAAGAACAAAGAAAAGGAGCAACCGTGTGCTTACTGCAACCAGCGGCCGTTCGGTGAGAAGCGCAATTGGACGCGCTTTTGGTAGATGCCGCACAGCAACGTGACAACTAGCCCCTCTACCCCTTGCCGGCACCCCCCGTGCACGGCTCGCGCGAAAAAATCCCTTAGCTATTGGTGACCATGCCTCTCTCTCACCCTCGACCGCTTTCTCCCATTTGTTTTGTGGGCGTCGTGCATGTTGGTTGGGGGTCTTTGCAGACGCTCCTTAGCAAGGCTATGCTCGTCCCGACAACGGTAGGCATGCTTCAGGCCCCCGGCGGCCTCGCGTCCGCGGGGGGGGAGCCCAACCTGGCGGACTCGCTGGCGTGCGTGTACTACCTCCGGGCTATCAAAGCCCTGGCATTCGCGGGGGCCCTCGACGACACGATGAGGCTGGACATGTACCGCACCATGGTTAGCTCGGTGTCGGACGCGCGGCATCGCGTGGCGTTGGAGGCGATGCAGTGCCTGCTTGACCACCCGAGGTGTGGGTACGGCCGGCAAGGGTTGGGTGTACTTTTTCGTTTTCGTTTTGTTTTGTTTGCGAGACCGGGAACCGGCAACGTGCGCACGGACCAGGAGTGCGGGGTGTTCCTACGTCAATAGGCACGGCGTGTTGATGGACCATACTACTTCACCTGTACTTGACCCGCGTCAAAATCCTCGGGCTTGGCTTCTTCAGTCCACTGCAATCGACACCTGCCTTCTAGACAGTTTAAGTTTATCGCCCCCCTCTCGCATGCGCGCGTTTGCTTCCCGGCAAACGCGGAAAATAACAGGGCGTGGGAGCTGCTCGTGAACGCCCAGCGAGAGTCTCGAGATGCCGACATCTTCCGCAGAGTAGTAGACCGCATCAAGGTGTGCGTGGAGGAGGCCACTGCCCCCGCTACAGCCGCTGCGGCTGCCACTGCCGCACACGATGGATCGACCGCTGCTAGCCGGCCGGGATCCCCTACTGAGCTTCCCCCCGCAGCGCCCGCCGACCTGGGCCACAAGAAGAAGAAGAAGATGATGAGGAAGAAGGAGAAGGGTAGTGGCGGCGGGGCTGGCAATGGACCGGCGGGGGTGGGGGCGAGCGAGGCGCATTGCAACTGGGCGTTGGCCCACGCTGCTTGCCGGGTGTGTAGGGTGGTGGGCCGCACCTTCCAGGTGGCGATTAGGTGCGTGCCTGTATGCGGGTTGAGGGGTGGTTGAGATTGTGCTGATTTTTTTTTGTATCGCAAGGCACACTTTGGGAAGAGACGGGTCCGTCGATCTGCTACAAGTAGAGAGTTATCATGCCTACAGTAGGCTGCTATATATGTTGCCGCTGCTTCGGCAGTCGTCCGTTCGAGGTTTTGGGTACAACTGCTCTTTTCTCTCTCGATTTTTACGCGTTGCCACGTCACCAAAGCCACTCCTCCGCCTCACAGCATGCCCCCCGACAACCCCCCCCCCTGCCCCGTGTCACCATAACAACAACAGTTACCAGACCATGCAGAACCAAAATCGAGCTGGTGTCGACGGCAGCAGCGGCGGTAGCAGCACCGTCTTGGCAAGCACGGCTGCGACAGCAAGCGTCGGCGGAGAGCGTCGTGGCAGCGGGACCTCCGGCCCGCGCCCCCCGTCCGTCAACGCCCGCCACGGCTTCTCGGAAGGTCTGCTCGCGTTGGGGGGAGACGGCAGCCAACCGGTAACACCGGAAGTGGGGACGGGGTCAGCGTTCAATCTCCTTGGCCTGCCGCCGTCGCCGGC